AAGAACGTCCCGTAAAGAGACAATGGCAACTCCTTCTGTATTGTTGCCAAGGAAAGTTCATGGGTATCTTCAAGAGACAAGCCTTCCTCCCCTCTCTACTAGCACTACACTAAATGGGGGGGGGGGATAAAACTTCCCCCTCTCCAATAATCTGATACGCAGATGCCTGCCTTCTCAAACTTTACAGCAGTATTTAACAACCATGGCAACTTTAAGTTATGTGGATTTCAATTCCCAGAATTCCCCAGCCAGCCATGCTGGCTGGGGAATTCTGGGAGTTGAAGTCCACAGACCTGAAAGTTGCTAAGGTTGAGAAACACTGCTCTACACGGTTTCCCATTCCTGTCAGGATCTGATTCTGCTACTGCAAGTGCCAGGAGCTGCACGGATTGACCCCCTGGCACCTTTTTTGTGTTTCGCAGGGGAGACGCCATTGCGTATGCGAGGATGCAGCAACTGCAGCAGAAGCCAGGCGGCAACGACGGGATGGCAGAAAACGTCCAGGCGCAGCTGGTGTGACGTTTTCGGGACGCCTTTTGAACCAGCCTCTTCCTGATTTTTGGCACTGGAGACGTTACAACGCTGAGGGTCAAACAGCCCTGGCTACTTTGAAATGCTTCCAAAATTAATTCCGAGAAAAGGGATCTTTTTGAAAACCACCACAAGGCTCTGAATTCACGCATCACTGTGAATCTGAATATGCTGCAGCTTTCAAGGTTTCAAGTGGGGCTTGTCCTCCCCTAGCCCAGCTTCATTCTCAGGTCAGAGTGGAATCAAATCAGGTGCAAAAAAAAATATCTCTACATCAATGTGAAAAAAATAATCTCTACATCAATTCTTTGGCTGCTCTCAGAAAAGACTGCTGCTACGAAAGTGCTCCACTTTGCGTACCAAATTTTGCAGCACGGGTGGAACAAATACCTTCTTCAATGTCTATTGTTTCCACCGCTTTTTAAAGCAGTTAAATGGTTCTTTTCCATTTCACAAAAACGACAACGAAACACAACAAAAGTGTGTATGTGTGGAGGGATGACATAACTGATGCTCTGATTGGATTGCTAGGAACTGCTTTCTAGAAGCATTGTGTATGCAGTGATGTCAGATACGATTTGCAAAAAACGGATAGATTTTGGGGGCGAGAAATGCAATGCTGAACTTCTAAGATTGAAGGTCACCGTAAAAACACCCTGGAGACTAAATTAGCCCCTGGAGACGGCATCCATACATTTTTTTTATTTCCAGGAGTAATCCATCTTTGATTATCATCTGACAGGTGGAAGAATCAGGGAAAGGAAGCTAATTTTGAAACTGGGGTGGGAGGAAAATGAATTTTAGCTTTGATGTATTTCCTCTGGTAAATCTATCCTGGTGATCTCTTTGTGCTCCAAAGTTTGAGGTTTGGTGACTTTGGTGTCATTCTCTCACTTGTCCTTCAAACTTTTCCAAAGCATTTGGGTTTACGTATTATCTTTTGCCATCCAGAGCTTCTTTCCCTGAGTTTCAAGCGAGATGTGATTTAATATTGTTAGAAATTAGCGAAGTGTGTGCTGATTGCGAGATGCATTTTGTCAGGCAGAGAAATAACTGAAGACTGTTTTCTTTGTGGTGGAATTTTTTTCCCTTTTTGGTCTTCCTTCTTCAAGGATTTTCAGCAACCGTTGCCACATTAGGAATTTACAGTCTGAGGCCATTTCCCTGCTTCAGATGCCGAAAAAGGGAACTTTTGGTAGCAGTGAGCAAGGCTGGGTCAATTCACTGTGTTCTTAAGTTTAATGAAAAACTCCCAGCGGCACTACTTCCTCATGCTTTATGGGGCACCAAAAAAACACAGACGTTGTACACCCCAAGCCTTCTCAAGGAAGGGGATAATGGTTGTAAACATTCTTTGTCATTGAAAAGCACAAAGCTTCCGTTTCTTTAAGGTTTTTTTTGCTAGGTGCATTTTCTGTTGTTGGTTTTCAAAACTGAAAAAGGGAATTTACAGACTTAGGGCATTTCTTCATTAGTGACACAGCATCTCCATTGCCTTGTGAAGTGATATAACGCCTGACCTCAGCTGTTATGTCAGTCCAACTTTGGTTGAATAAATTTGAGAAGACGTTAGAGAGGAAAAGACCTCAATCTGATCTATTCATTTATTTTCATATTTCTGCATTGTTTTCAATATTACTTTTCTGTTGTTTTCTGTTTGAACTGTTGGTTTATGGTTAATTTATTATTGCTCCCTCCCCATCTTGCGGGGGGGGGGGAGAATGAATACCTTTATTTATATATACTTTTAGACTTTATTAGAATTCTTATTGATGTTCATTTAGACCACTGATCTGTAGCCACTCAGATTCTGCTTCTTAATCAACTGATTTTCTTTCTTCATGGAAGAGAAAGATGTGGTTATTTATATGACGGAGGGAAAGAAATGCTGTGAAGTATTAATTTAGGCTGCAATCTTTGCCTGTTTTATAGAGTAAGGCCCACTGAATTCAAAGACACTTTCTCCTGAGTAGATGTGGATACCATTATCCTGTGTTTTGACTGAAAAAAAGATGCAGTTTCTGCATGATCCTGGGAAAAGGCATGGGTGCTTAAAGAACTGAAGGTGGGTGCTACACATATTCCAAAACACCTTTTTGGAATTGAATCCAAAGCACCACAGTGCCTAATGGCTAGGAATGACTGTTCTTAGACCCTTACGAGAATTCACCAGTTAGTAGTCAGTATTAGCAGCAGGATCCATTGCAAGCACTACGTATTGGAAACAGAATTTCTAGGTATTTGGGTGCCCCAAGGCTGTGCCCCCTGGAAGAGTTGCTGCCAAACTGTAACTTTTAATAAGACTGAAGGAAAACAGTACATTAGTATTGCATGTGATGTCATTAAGCTTGGATTGAGTGAAATTAAACCAAATGTAGGTTTTTGTCTTGCTGTTAGCATGCTGCTGAAAAGGGGTAGCTCTTGAGATGCTTGGTCCCAACCACATGCCCAATGACAGGGTGTCATAAGAAACATGTTCCAAATATCTGAAGGGCACCAGGTAACATCAAGCAAGGAAGCACTAGGTCAGAATAAATGGCATGCAAATGTTTGAACTGCCCAGCCGTGCCATGCTGGAAAGAAGGGGATCGAAATGCAAGTATTTTGACGGAAGAGCAGAGTTCTACATTTGCAAAACTGGAGGCCACTTGGCAGCCGCTGTCTTTACACTTCATGGTAAGCTATCTAGTACTTGGCTTGATTTTGTTTTAGCTCAGCACCCCCAGCTGCAGGGAACTCAGCCACTTGGTGCTTATTCCCCTAGCCAAAGTTTAACAAACTATGGCTTAGCACAATGCCAGAATCTTTGGGTTCTGTGCTAACTTGATCCCATTCAGACATGCAGCTTCCCCTTATTTATAATTGTATCAGTGGTTCGAGCTGTCCTCTTTTTCTCGCGTGGTCTAAAATAGAAAATGCTGGTCTGTAGAAAAAAGATTTGATTGAAGAGAGTGCATTTTTCTTAGACGTAGTATCTCTTCAACTGACATTTTATAAAACGGACTCAAACCGATTTCCTTTTGTGTATGCAGTGAATAAAAAGACCGTTCTACCTCTGGTAATATGGTTTGTGGTTTTAATGTTTTTTTACTGTAGTTGGGTGCATGCAAAGATGCATTCGGTGTG